AAAAAAGGCAATTATTGCACATTTTTCTCTCAAATATGGAATTGAGAGAGAAAAAGTAGCAGGGAGATAACATGGAAGCAAAGTGGAGACTATCACAGGAGAGAAAAAGAGGAATGGGAGAACAAGGGATACCAATTTGGAAATGATCTTCAAGTGTGTTATATACATAAAAAGAATCTGCCAATGAAAAGCCCACTAGTCTGTATTACATGTACTAATAATAAAAAAGGAAAAAAGAATGAATAGAAGGATGGACAACAAAGACATATGATACATAGAAAGCAAGTATCACAAGGGCAGACATAAGCCCTAACTTACTAGTGATTATAAGGGCAGAGAGCAACAGTTGGGTTTTTTAAAATGATCTAACCAGATTGGAGGTGTAGCTCAGTAATACCGTACCTGCCTGGCACACGTGAGGGCCTCAACCTGGAGTCCTGAACAAAAAGATCTAATCAAATCCTTTCTACAAGAGACAAACTTTAGACTTAAAAGCAAGCCAGCATACTCTAAGGTGGTGATTCTCCCCAAGGTTCTTCTCAGACTTTGGAGTTAAATTTTGTATTCCTGAAGCTATAATTCCTGAGTCCTTTGTGTCTTTTCTTTCTCCTTTTTCTTTTTTTCTCCTCCCTACCCCCAGACAAAGTCTCACTTTGTAATTTAGGCTGGTCTTAAATTCACTATGTAATCAGGCAGACAGACTGGCCTCAAGTTCACAGGAATCCTCCTGCCTTGGCCTTTCTAGTGCTGGTATGACCAGTGTGCCACCATATGCCTGACTGACTTTCTAACAGCTAAAAAAAAAAAAACACATTCTTGGGCCATGCATTACCAAAACCTATGGTGATCTTCAAGAAAGTAGATGTCCTGATTAAGGCTGGCCAGGAAAATTGAGACAAACATTTGTGGCAAGCTGTAATCACCAACAGCTACACTTTGACAGAGGCAAGCATTGAATTAGGAAAAAACACTTGTAGGAAAAAATGGAAACAAAGCTTTTGTAAATAAGGAGGGGAAGAAGGATTGAAGAAGAATAGGGGAATGGAAAAAAAAGAAGTTATATCATGTACAGGTACAAATTCCCTATAATGAATATGATTATTATGTATACTCAAAGAGTACCAATAAATTTAATGAATGTTCAATACTTTCAAAAATTAGAGAATATGGGGCTGGAGATTTAGCTCAGTAGCACAAGCACCTGCCTGGTAAACACAAGGTCATGAGTTTGATTCCAGTACCAAAAAAACAAAAGGAAAATTAGAGAATGTGCTAGGTGTTTTGTTTCATCTGAGTTTACATTTGTTTACTTAGTATATAATTATTAAAATTAAATGAGGCCTTTTGGTTTCCATAGTCCTATAATGCACACTTAGGTGACTCAGAGAAATAAAGTATCAAGAATACAAACTGTGTAATTATGCCTGGTGTCTTTTTTTTTTTTTTAATCAGTACTGGAGATCGAACTCACAACCATACACTTGCAAAGCAGGCGCTTATGCTGCTGAGCTAAATCCCCAACCCCTGGTCTCTTTTTTTGTTTGTTTTGTTTTTTGAAACAGGGTCTCATTCCCTAATTCAAGTTGGACTTGGACTCACTATATAGCACAGGCTGGCCTCAAGCCCATGGCATTCTTTCTGCTTAGCCTCCTGCATGCTGGGATTGCAGGTGTACACTACCACACCAAGCTAAGCCTGCCTTTGAGAAGCAGTGTTAAATCACATCAAAAGAAATCAGTATATTCTAAAAGACAGTAGATGTCTATGATATAAATAAAAAAACATGCAGTTCACCAAAGCCTTAAGTCAATGTACAAAAAGTGTTAAATAGATTTTGTCCTAATAAGTTTCAGTGGGTTTTGTTTTTGACTTGCTTTCATATAATCAAGTTGGTTATGATAATCCAGTTTTAAAATTAACTGACAATACCACTTAGGGATAAGTGAATAGCTATTGTAAACCAGTCTTTAGTTAACATGCCTTCCCTCCCTCAAAACTGTGCAATCTCTTTCAATTTCCTTCTCTTTTCACTCAGGCTCTGCCTGGAATTTTCCTCTCCACCTCGATGGTGCAACACATGATCACGTGTTCGTGGTCTTGTTTTCCTTTGGGAGGAGTGGGTACTTCTATTTCCTTCTCTTTCATATATTCTCTCATTACCCGTCTCTAACATGCGCTCTCCAGGGTTTCTCGATCCCTACGCTAAAAGCAAAGCACTAAAAGACCAAAAAGACAAAAAGGGAAAAAAAATACCCACAGCAGCTGGGAACCCTTAGTTCTACCTATCTCTATGGAAACAATTCCTCAGAGATGATCTGGAAACAATTCTACGGTGATCATCAGGGCAGTGGTGAGCCAATCCCAGAGCCTTACTCACAGGATTCAGCTTACAAATGGGAATGGCTGACAATTTTTTGGAAAAAAACAGTAAAACAGGGAGCCAAATAAAAATTACACTTACCACTACATATTTTTGCCTCAAAATTTCTTACTTGCTGTAATAAAAAGCAACAATGTATCCCCTTATTCCAAGCACTCCCTAATCTCACTAGCAAAGAGAGCCCAACACAAAAACATTAGCTTCCCCTTTAAAAGAAACAAACAAATGGGGCCAGAGGTTAGCTCAGTGGCATAAGGACCTGCACCTGCCTGGCAAGTGTGAGATTGTGAGTTCAATCCCCAGTACCAAAAAAAAAAAAAAAAAAAAAAAAAAGAAAAAGAAAAAATGTTGCTTGGTGGTGAAAAGTCAATTTATGTCATTAAAATGACTTTACCATTGTGGCTCATAACCACCCAAGTATGTGGAAAGAATGCAAATTCAATCAGGCAGTAAGCCCACTGTTTGAATTTAGGCCTGAGGTGAACAATTACAGAATTCTACCTACCAAACCAAGTTGAACTAAAAGGATAAAGTAGTGATGCGCCTCAAATCCATGGAAGAAAGCGTAAGGTAAGAACTCCACCTGAAGCATAAGCTATTATTTTTAAACGACAACGACAGAACCAGCTTCAGGCCCTGAGATCGCTCCACAGCTTTGGGTTTGGGAGGTGGGATGGGCCACTTCACGGTATGGGTGATCCAGGACAGTCAATTTTCAAGCCTACTCAAAAGTCTCCGGCCAGCAGACTAGTAAGTACAGGTCTCCTCAGACGGTAAAATCAGGGTTAGTTAGGAGAAGTAACTTCAATTTACCTAAAGTGATGTTTCCTTAAAGTACAGGTAATTTATAACCATCAGAAGTTTCATAGTGTTTTAAAACTGTGATCCTTGGGGCTGGGGATTTAGCTCAGTGGCATAAGCACCTGCCTTGCAAGCAGGCAGTTGTGAGTTCAATTCCCGATACTGATAAAAATGAAAAAGACAAAAAAAAAAAAACTGCGATCCTTGGAGTAAGACTTTTTGTATTTCAGTCCTAGCTCTGTCACTCAGCTGGGTGACCTTGGGCAACTATTTTCCTCTGTCTGCAACTAGATACATCATCTGCAATGTGAAAGTTAATCTATAATTATTATAGCATCTTTTTGTTTCTTTTAAAATCACGCTGTCCCTTCCCAAATTACTTTGAAGAGGTGGGCTAAGGAATGGCAATAGAGTACTACCACGTAGGCAATTCTTACTGAGCCACGATTGCCTTAAGTAGATTTGAACATAAATTACGTGAGTTTCCATTACTGAAGCTAACCAGTTTCCTACCTCCACCCTATACACTACAGATCTCAAGGGGGAAATTTTTTTCTTCCTGCACTAACACTCCACAACGCACTTTTTTTTTTTTTTGTCTTTTTTTATTGGTACCGGGGATCGAACACAACGCACTCTTAGTCGTCTTCTCCATGCCTGTAGCACAAAATTTTTTGGCTGGACATTAAAGGTTGTTGCGCTTTCTTTCCAGGACTGCCTTCCACCCTGCCCGCAGACACTTGGCTTACATTTGTTTTGAAACGTAAAAGGGGTGGTATCAACTTGAGGGCATCACAGCACAACCACAGAGCGTATTTTGTGTGTCACTGGTGAAAACTACTTCCCAGAACACAAAGCTCTATTTAGAATACAATCCTAAACCCCATACCTTGAGGCTTTCAGAGGAAAGGGAAACTAACGCCAACCCTGGGAAAGCAGTCAGCCCAGGCGATGGTAGAAAAGGAGGAGGCCTGTTTGACAGCCTAGATCTGGCCTGTCTCCAGGCAGCCAAGAAACACTTGTTTTCAACAGCAAAATGCAAATATGGTGGACAAGAAAAAGTATCCCCCCACACACCCCGTTCGTCGGCCGCACCACGTGGCTCCCGGCCCACGCAGGATAAGGGCGGGGTCTTCACGGGATGTGCTCCCGCGGTGCACCCCAGAAAGCACCATTCCTTCAGCACGCACGGTGGCTGCTACTGCTACCTCAAATCGTCCCCGAGAGGGCAGAAAGGTGGGCTCTGAGAATTTGATGGTTGTAGGGCAAGCAAAAAAGCAGAAAAGGTGGAGTCCGCCGAAGCTCCTTCTCTGACGCGAACAAATCCCACTTCCCTCCACCTAGTTGTCAGCGGTCCGCCCATCGGCGCGCAAGCGTACTTTGGGCGGCCCGCGGCAGAACCAAAGCGCTTCTCTCGTCTCGCGAGAGCAGGGCGGCCCAACTCCGTCGCCTGGCTCCGCCCCCTTCTCCTCGCTCGCTCTCTCCCATCCCCCCAGGCCAGTCTGTGTGCTGCGCAGCTTCCTTAGCAGTTGCCGACACCGAAGGCGGTTGGGGAAACCGTTGTGCGGAGCGCTCCGCGAGACGAACGGCTTCCCCCTTCGCACGACTGGAGCCCGCAAACCGGACGCAGCATTACTATCGCCCGTCAGGGTATCTGAAGTAAAAGGGGGTAGGTTGGGCTGGCGGTGTCGAGAGCCTCGGGAGAAGGACGAACGGGAGACCGGGAGGGGGTGGGGCGGGTGAAGTGTGGAGGTCGCCGCTCGGAGGCGGCCGCTGAGCGCTTCTCGGGCGACCTCCCACTTCGAGCAGGGCGGCTTACCCAGGCAGGACTGCTTGGGTGGACTCCAGCGGACGACGGCAGGGCCCGGAGTGGGGGGCTCCCAGCGTGTCCCCCTTTGCCTGCTGGTTGGGCCTCCGCCATTTTGGGTACGGTGGCGCTGACACATCGGCTTCCCGCCCTTTCCACTTTTTGTCCCCCAGCTAATGAAAACTGACTTAGGAGGCCACGGGCTGAGGGGCGGCCGCGCCTCCCGGGAAGGGACGCGGGTGGGGAGTGAAGCGAGCAGGCGAGGTCGGGCCACCGGGCGCGCTCCCGGTGGAAATGGCGCCTGACGGGCCCGGCCTCCCGCCGCGGCCTCGCTTCCTCCGCAGTCTCGGCAGGGCTACCTGGGCTGGCGGGACTGCGAGCGACTTCTGACGCAGCTTCCCAAGGTGAGAGAGGCTGGAGCTGGGGGAGGAAGGCCAATGGCGACGGAGGCGCTCAGCTCCCTGATCCAGGACAAAGGAGGCAGGCGGTCTCCTTTGTAATCCCGCGCCCGGTGGCGAAGGTTTTTAAGCCAGGTTTGGCTACGGCGGGAGAGGAAGTGCCCCGAGTTCTCGGGTCCTGGGGCAACTAGATAAGCCAAGAGTCTGCGGGGAGGAGGAAAGGACGCTTAGCTGGCCTTATAGAGTCGAGATTTGGAACTTCGAAAAGAGTACGTACTCATTTTCCATAGAGATTTTTTTTGTCTTTTCACGTCTAAAGGTTTATTTTTTAAAAGTAGGTTTTGTAAACAGGAAAGTGGGTGACAGATCAAACACAAATGTGAAATAGACTTATTTTGAGCCCTAATGAAGTGTGATGCCACTTTTTGAACTCCAAGGTGGGATGGGTACCACACAGTATTGATTTTGTGTAGTTTGGCACACGTGGGTTAGAATTTGTTTAAAAGTATTTTTATTTTGAAAAAAATGATTTTAAAAAGTGATGAAAAATGTACATGTAGAGCATTGAGTTGCTAACTTTACATCTTAAAGTTCCAAGGGTGGTATTTTTTGTAGATTTTTTTCCCCCTTTGCATTTAAGGCTGTGGAAGTAGACTTCAAAATGAAGTTTATTTTGTTTTGGTAGCAATGCATGTGTTTAGGAGTATTACATACTTGAACCAGGAACTAAGCCTATTGGGTAATGTGTAACTCTGTAGTCATCTGGTGGTGTAGGGGCCTTTGTTTTGTTTTGGTCCATAGAGTTAGAGAAACGTATTGATAATTTTCGTGACTATAATTTAGAAAAAAAGGACAAGCAAAAGAAAATTTCTTATAACATATAAATAAAAATTTGTTGTGTTTTTTGACTCTAAAAGACAAAGCCCTACTTATCTCTTGAAGTTCTATGACTTAAAATTGCTAAAGAAAAGTTTACCAGAATCTTTTAAACAGTAGGATTTTGGTGGATTTTGAAAAGACAGCCCAGACTTTACTGTAAAGCGTATAATTGTTTTCGAATTAGACGGAAAACTTTGTCTTTCATCTGCATCTTAATCTGGAGTTTTGATTCTCTTACATGATGCTTTCTAACAGCTTTGGGACATAATTTATAAACTGTCTACTTCACCCATTTATTTTTGCAGTACTGAGAATTGAATCCAGGGTAGCACTGAGCTACATCATGACCCCTTGTTTATTTACTATTTATTTTTGAGATGAGTCTCACTGTATAGCCCTGGCTGGTCTCAAACTCTGCTTAGCCTCCTAAGTGCTGGAATTAAAGGTGTGCACCACCCTATATAGCTGGCTAGTCCTTGTTTTTTTGAGATGAGCCTTCCTAAATTGTGCAGTCTGCTTTCAAATTCTAAATCCTCCTGCTTCAGCCTCCCAAATATTTTGACTACAGGCTGTGCTACCACAGCTGGCTTCAACTTTGGTCCACAGAGTTGTGATTTTAGGATGTTTTGTAGCATCCAAGAAAAGACATACTGTAGCCATTAGTAGTTATTTCATAAGCTGACACTCATTTCAAATCCTGGACAGACAGCCACAAACTATACATTCTAGTATTGCAGACATTGGTGTAAATGGGATACAGTATATATTCTTTTGTGACTAGCTTCCTCCCCACAATTTAGGAAATTACAGAAGTCTCATAAAAGTGACTAAACTTAACCATCTGTTTTGACTACTGATATATTTAATTGGTCCTGACACTTAGAGGTTTTTGTTTTTCTAAACAGGATTTGCCTTTGGGTCTATAGGCAGGTATGCTTTGTTGACACCTGACTAATAAAGTACAATACTTGGAATTCTTAAAACAGAGTTGTGATTAGCTGTGGTGTTGCAGAAAAAGATCCTCACATATTTAGTAAGTTGTTTAGATAAGTTTCTGATAGCTTTAGTAAAGATGACTTTTTTTCTAGAATTCTAGACTTGCATTTTGAAGGGATATAGAGTTTTCAATATATATGTTTATAAAGCATGAGACTGAAAATCACCTGTAAAAAGAATTTGTTCTTCAACTGGTTAACATTTCTGCAGTTAAAAAGTGTTAACCATTTAATAGGCTCCACTCAGGAGGCCTAGGCAGGAGAAATGCTGCAAATTTCAAGGCCAGCCTGGACTACATAGGGAAACAGTGTCACAAAAAATAAAATAACAAAAACCTCCAGCACTTTAATTTTTTTTAATGCATTTGTTTATTTTTTGTGGTACTGGGCATTGAACTCAACCATGCTTCTCACCAGGTAGGCAGCTTATGTCACTGAGCTAAATCCCTGACCCTAGATTCTTTTTTTTTTTTTTTTTTTTTTTTTTTTGTCTTTTTCATTTTTATTGGTACCAGGGATTGAACTCAGGACCGCCTGCTTGCGGGGCAGGTACTTATGTCACTGAGCTAAATCCCCAGCCCCGACCCTAGATTCTTATTCAGTATAAGCTGATCCACAAATCAAAACTAGTTTGCTTGATACTATTTTCTTGTAAAGTGCTAAGATTTAAAGATAAAGCAATCTCCTTTTTTATTTGTTTTTAAAATACAAATCTATATGTTGTGTTGCAATCTTTATGTAAAAAAAAAAATGTGTTAGCTGTGCATGACAGCACATGCCTATAATCCCCATACTTGGGAGGCTGAGGAGGATCATTGTGTGTTCTAGACAAGCCTGGGCTACAAAGTGAGCTCAATGCCAGCCTGAACTGAACAGTGAGACCATGTCTGAAAAAGAACCCCACCCGCAAAAAAAAAAAAAGTGTGCTAAGAACTGATAGAAACACAATGTGAAGACTTTTCCTGGATTTGATTGGCTTGATAGTTGAAATTATCATAAGGAAGTAATAATTTGTTAGATGCTTGCTTTTCTCCTTTCTGTTCTTAAATCATCCTTTATAGGAAATACTTTTCCTAAAGTGGTTCTATGCTTAAAAATTTATTTTTTAAGAAACCAGCGAAAGCTTTAGACTGGATATGGTAACACACATTGTAATCCCAGTACTCAGAAGGATGAGGCAGGATTGCTATGGATTCGAGGCCATTGTGGCGCACGTACAAGAGTTCAAGGCCAACCTGCACTACACAAGACTGTCTCAAAAACAAAATACTAAACACACACACACTACTGCCACCAACTGATTTGTGCCTTCTCTGAACTACTCTAAGGTAGTAAACTTTTAAAAGCCTTTGTTGACTTTGAAAAAGGTTACAGTCCTTATTTCCATTAATAAATGTTTTCTGCCTTTAAGGGTAAGATATTTTGTTTGTGGAATGGCTCGTTGATTTTAAGGTCCTTAAAACCCACTCTGTTTGTTTGGTTGGTTGGTTGGTTGGTACTGAGGATCAAACTCAACCTAGTGCTTGGCAGGCAGGCAGGCACTTAGGACTCTGAGGTAAATCCCTGGCTTAAAACCCACTCTTTTAACAGTTGGCACATGAATAGATGTTTAACTGCGAAGCAATAGGCCAAGCACTTTAGTCCTTGTAATAGTCCAGTGAAGTGTAGGTACTACTGCTATGTTTCGAGGTGAATGGACTCAGTAGTTATTTAAATTCAGTAGCCAGGGAAGAGCAGACTAGGAATTTAAGCCCAGGATTTTGCTCTTAAAATCCTGTTTTGTCTGGGGTGGCACCCAGGTCTTGTGTGGGATGTTTGTTTTTTGAAATGGGCTGGGTGAAGCTCAATGGGGCATTGGCTTCAATCCGTAGCCTATACAGACACAAGCATAACCAAAGTGACAACAATCCATATGGAGAGATGAATAACCGCTTTTAGAGAATTTATATATTAATGTAGTGATAAATTCTAGGGAAATAAAGTGTTTCGCTTGTTGATGCTACATTAACAGTTGCACTGATGATTAGGTCATGTGGAATTGAGCATTAGTAAATGGCAGTTGATGTGAAATATCTTCAACAAAAAGGAATCAAGTGAACAAACTTGTTTACAGGGGAGAAAGTGGTGAGGGAAAGGTTTGAAATACTCAGGTGAGTAGGATTCCTACAGCTGCATAGTGAAATTTATAAGGTCTGGTAAGTTTTTGCAGCTGAAGGACTTCTGCACTAGCTCTTTTGAAAATGTTCTGAAATTTTAAAAGGATGATTGTCTTGGGTAGGAAACTAGGTGAACGGGTTCATTTTGAAGGGGAAGGGATCTTCTGTGCTTTTTTTTATAATATCTGAATGTGACTGCATTGCCTTTTAACTAAAAAGTTAAAGCAGTGAGTGAATGAACTGGTGATTACTGTTGTCAGTGACTTGCAAATAGCTTCAAAAATAAGCTTGCTTTTGAGAGGCATTCACTGTTGAGTATGCTTTTACCTGTTTTTAAACTAACTCTGATTAACTTGGTCACTTTAAAAATTCCTGCTCTTGGTGAGTGAATAGATTAAAATTGAAGTGAATATTTCCCCCAGTTCAAAATTAAAAGTGCATCTAAGAACTTGAGGCTGTTGTGATACCTTTCTTTCAAACATTGAGTACTTGTTGCATTTTTTTTACTTAAATTCTTAATGTGAGTACACAATTGTACAACATACAGCTTCCTAACAGCTTAGGTTTTTAAACTTTGCCTGTTTTTAGGTGAATAATGAAGTGAAGTCCTGAGAAGTGTGAACTTTTGAGAGATGAGGGAGTGCCAGAGATGGCCTTAAGATGACATAATCAAGACCTTGTTCATATGCAAAAAATTTTTAGGCAACATAATAATACTTGGTACTAAGAAGTTCAGATTTTTGGTTGGATCAGGTTTCACTGTTTTTCCTACTTCAAAATACAAAGTTAATGTACCATTGTACTGTGGCATGATCACAGGCGTGAAATTTAAGTCTCATGGTGTTGTACTATTGTGACACTTCTGAGAGGTGTTTCTTTGGTACCTGTTGACAAGGATATGTTTTGATTGACTGTTTTATGTGCTTGTTTATTTTTATAGCATTTAAATCAAACGGTATTGAGATGGATTGGGTTATGAAACATAATGGTCCAAATGACGCTAGTGATGGGACAGTACGACTTCGTGGATTGCCATTTGGTTGCAGCAAAGAGGAAATAGTTCAGTTCTTTCAAGGTACCGCTAGTATTAGTCAAAGTTTAGTAGTGTTTTAATTTTGTATTTTTACTGTTTACTCAGTTTAATTTGTAAAAACTCACTTTAATTTTGAAACTTTTACATTTGTAACAGTCTTGGTTA